GCGCCCCGCTCGCCCCCTGCCCCCGGATGGTGCACGCGGTGCGGGCCCCACCCCGGCCCCGCACGCTGGGGAAGCCCCCCCGCGCCGCGCCCCTGGAGCTCCGGCTCCGCCACCCCTTCCTCCCCTCTGCCCCCCCGCCTCCTCCTGCCGCCGCCGCCGGGAGCCCGGACGGCCCCCGACCCGCCCCCGGCCCCGCTCTTAAAGGCGCCGCCCCGCCGCTTTACGTAACGGCGGGGGTGAGGACGGACAGACGGACAAGCGGATGGATGAGCACGGGGATGGACGCACGGACAGGCAGACTCACCGCGGAGCAGCGCCAGGCCCCGGGACCGACCCGCTGCACCGGGGACGCGGGCTGCCCTGCGCTGCCAAAATCCCTGCTCCCAGGTGAGTGGGAAGGGGCTGTTCCCCGCTCCCTCTGCCCCGGCGGGGCTGGCGCTGCCCGCCCGCAGCAGGGCTCCCGCTGCCCCGGCCCGGCCTCTCGGGACACTTTGCAGAGTTACCGCAGGGAGAGAGCCCTGCCAGGCGCGGGCAGGAGCTGCGGGAAACGACGTCCTTCCAACAAGTAAATCATCCCCGGGGGAAGAGGAGGGACCAGAGCTATGCCGGGACAGCCCATAAAGCGCGAGCTGGGATCCTGGAGAAGCTGTCGCTCATAGTGCGACTTCTAGGGATGTGGTGTTTGTAAAGCAGAAGGTGAGACAGGCATGAAGGACGGGGGAGGACAGCAGAGAGAAACGGAACTTATTTTAATGCAGAGCCCCCAAACCGTGCAGTCTCACTTGAGCAGGCCTCTGGGTCTGAGGAGGCTGCTCCTGCCCTCCTAGAGCTGCCCCATAGTAGTACCCACAGCAGTACCCACACTTGCAGCTCTGCCTTGGCCCACAGGACCTCCAGGATGATGAGGGGCAGGAACAAGGCAGGAGCAAGTGCTGGCTTCCTGGGGCACAGCCACACATAGGCTCCTCCAGCCACCTTGTCAACAGCAGAGACCTGCAAGGCCATGGCCAGGGGGAAACCTGACATTTCATCCTTCCCCCATCATTCACCCATACATCACAGGCTTTTCAGAGTCTGTGATGGAGAGGCAGGAAGTAGGACATGAAAGGAGGGGGAGGTCTGGGGGCTTGCATACAGTTGTGCTCCTCCACCTCATTACCAGAGCCTGCAGTTGTCTGTGATAAGGCAGGACTCAGCTGAGCAGCACGGTGAAGTTCAGATTTGCTACTGCACATCAACGAAGTGATACTGGAGCTGCTACTTAGCAGCCCTGACAGAACAGAACAGCCTCCCTCCAGCTGCCCAAGCTCACCCATGGCCACAATGCCACAACAGCATCATGGCTTTGCAAGAAGTCACAAGAGAAGGTGAGTGTTCAAACTTCAACATCTTTATTAAAGCAGACAGCAGGTAATCCAGAACCTCACAAGACAAACTGAGTGTTCAAGCTTCAAAAATACTTTATTCAAGCAAACAGCAGGCAAATCCAGAAACAGTTTAGCACCCCACCGCAGTCAGATGCCAGCACTGAGCAAGGCATCCCAGTAGTCACAGCTGTGCTGTCTATCCATGAGACAAGCTTTGTCTTTTGTCTCTCTCTGCTGGCTATAAAGCACAAAATTAAGTTTGACACCAAGATGCATGCAAACACCACAGTGAGGACTCCCAGACAGCAGCTCCTAGATGCCATCCAGAGAAATGTCACTAGAAACTAGAATGTCAGAGAAAACACTAACACAGACAGGGCTGTAAGGAAGTTAGAGAGTTAAGAGAAGTTAAGGAAGAGCAACAAGTTGCACAAGCCTGGGCATCAGGTTTCTAGAGACCGATGAAAATCCAGCCCTCCAAGCTGGTGAGCACTGAGCTCAGTAACTAGGCTGGGGGCCAGTCCCTGCCCTTTCCTTGCAGAGCTCCAGCTGAACAGTGTTCTTTCCCTCCAGGACTACTGCTCAGGTCACTTGCTCAGGTTAGGTTTAAATGCCAGATCAAACTGCAGAGTTTAGGTTAAAACTAAGCTGCGGGTTAGGTTTAAACGCCAAATCAAACTGCAAAGTACAGGCAACAGCCCCTGAGAACAGGCAGCACAGTTTAGCAGGTGTCACACATCAGCAGTGCTCAGCTTCAGGTCACACAGCAGAGCGGCACCATTAGAGAGCTGACACTGATTTTCCTCTCTCCATTCAACACCCAAGGGGGCAAGACTGGAATTTCCAGCCAGAACTGGAGAGTGAGCAGCCCATGCACACACACCAACACCCTCCCAGTGCCACAGCAAGCCAGCTTCTCAAAGTGCTACATGTACCCACGCAGAGCAGTGACCAGAGCCCTCCAGACAGCTGTCAGCCCCAAGCCCTACATTCACCTTTAATTCCTCAGGTCTTTGTAACTAATTTGAAGGAAGTTTACAACACCACAGAGCACACAGTCTAACTTGCCTAGTTTCCACTAAACACTCAAGCGCCACTCTCGTGACTGAAGGCAGGAAGCCAATTCAAGACAGCACAGCTATTTGAAACAGTTCAGCCTATGGAGAAGGAAGTGTCTAAGGATGTACACAACAGACTGAAGATTGTATCTGCATCACCACAGGAGAGTGAAAAAATAGGACTGCAGGAAATTAATCCATGTTAGATACTAACCATCAAGCTTCGCAGATGACATTGCGTGATAAGCATAGAACAATTATGGGAAACACTGTCCCCGATAATTACGTACACCCATAGTGCAACATATGGAGGTCACTGCCTCCGATATAACACTGTGGTAGGCAAAAACTACCTTGTTCTTTACACATTATGGGAGACACTGCCCCCGATAATGTCAGTTAGGTTTCATGATACATAAGGTACTGGAAGTTTGCAGGAAGCTGCCATTTAAAAATCGTGCCAATGCCTAATCTGATGTACAGGGAGTTTCTGTGTGTTGCCACAGGTGGAACTAGGGCTACACAGCAAGGCCCTCTGCTGGGATCAGGGCCAGGAAGGAAGCTGTGCTCCCTGTGAGAGCACACGGCATCCAGAAAGGGGAGCAGGAAAAGTCTGAAGCCCACAGAGGGGCACAGACCCTGCAAGGAAGACAAATTTCTAGTACTGGAATTTCCACCCAGATTTTCAGCATTTCAGGGATTACTTTGGAGCGTAACCTGGAGACTCACTACCAGGTTTGCACCTTCAAGTTGCTTCCAGAGGGGTGTTTTTGCCACAGAAAGCTTAATTGCTAGTTTTCCAAAACTTTTTGAGGTTCTTGTTTTGATTATTTTAAATGCAAAGTTCCAGTATCATGTTTGATTGTAATAGCAGATGCTGCTTTATTCAAAAACGACAGTATAACTGTCATAATTATGGAAGGCACTGCTTCCGATAATTATCTTCTATAAAAAAAACACACCATTTATAGTGAACACTGTCACTGATAAATAAATAAAGAAATAAATATCTCAGTGCCAAACAAGAGCCAACCTGCAAAATGACATCAGTCAAACAGAGTTTGGCCAGCAAGAGACTCGATTTCACACAAGGCCCCTGAAGCAGCAAGGTCTGAAGTGCCAGTCTAAAGACATTTCTGCTGCAGGACTTGCTGAGGTGCCAGCCGAGGATATCAAGGGGACATTGGATTATCTTTGGGTCATTTTCCCTGGGTATTGATACCTGCCTTGGCAGAAGCAAGCCTGCAAGATGTCACTGGGACCCTGCTGTTGAGTAAAGGCAGGCAGGCACTTCACAGCTTGCTGATAATCCAGCACTTGCAGGCTATTACTACATTGTTTAAGTTTTGAACTGCACCTCCCTGCCGGAGAAGGGATCCTTGTTACAAATGTTCAGAGGAATCCATTCCCTATTTTGTCACTAGGTTTAGGTGGCCAACAATTAAAAGCCTGAATAGATGAGGTACCTCCCCACTCAAGGTACCAGTTCAGGAAACACCTGAGCTCTTAGTTTTTAAGTACACTGGAGCAGCTGTACATGACTGGTTTGGACTGAGGTTAGGTGGGAGCCTGGTCAGAGGAGACTTCCTGGTAATCTTAGTACTGCTTTAAAACTGTCTCCTGTGAATTTGTCAAGGTGAGATTTAAATTTTATGCTCAACTTTGGTCAAAAACGTTTTGTTGCCAGAATATCTACAGGAAAGTAATGCCATGTTAGGGAGTGGGTTTCACTTAGGTTTCAGGGGGTTTGGTTAGGTTTTACGACATATAAGGTACTGGAAATCTTCAAGAAGCTGCCATTTAAAAATCATGCCAATACCTAATCTGAGGTACAGGGAGTTTGTGTGTGTTGCTATAGGTGGAACTAGATCTACACAGCAAGGCCCTGCTGGGACCAGGGCCAGGAAGGAAGCTGTGCTCCCTGTGAGAGCACACAGCTCTCCTGTACCTTAGACAGGTAATCCAGGTGTTTGCCGTGTCTAGATTTCGTTGTCTGTATTCCAGATATCGCCCACTAAAGCATTGGCAGCCCCTTTAATGGTCCAGGTCGCCAGGGCCAGCTGCTCTTTCAGCTCATTCACATCCACGCTGGTCTTGTTGACTGCCAGCTGCTCCAGGTTCTCCAGCAGACTGTTCAGGGTGTGTTTGCCTCTGCCGAAGAAGATGTGGCGGAAGGGAGTATCTTTTGGTGAGAGGTATGGAGAGAGGAAGTCGTATTCCACCTGAGTAGAGGTGCAAATAGAGGATTATATCACCTCCCAAGTTTTTCTTTCATGATCTGCCCCAACACAAACTGCCAACCTCTGATCCCCACTCAGCCCTTTCCCAGAGCAGCTCTGCAAGGGCCAGACCCTCTCTCATGAGCAAGCCATCGTGTTGCCACTGAGCAAGTGGAAGAGACACCAGTCTGCACAGTGCCCACGGCCCCTTAGGGAAAGGCCCATCCCAGCCAGCACTCTCTTCCTTTGCGAAGGAAGAAAAACCAGTTGAAGATACCCACCTTCATCACCCTGTCATTCAGGGCTCTGCGGACAATCCTGTTTTCCCTGTCACTGTTTTCGATGTCTCTTCTCAGTGCATCTGCAGCTCGCTGGAAGTCTCCACGGGCAAAATACAGCCAGTTCAAGGTCAGCCCCAGTTCCTGCAAGGGAGGAGCTGTTAGCAAACCTGATTTTCTTCTTTTGCTGCTCTCTTACCAAAAGAAAGTGTTGGGCTTTTTTTTTTTTTTTGGCAGTTTAGCCAAGTAGCAGAACAAGTTCCTGGCAGGCTCTTCTGAGGTCACTCCCTACCCACAGTTTCTTGTAGATTTTCAGCAGAGGTGCAAATGAGATGGAAAGCTGCACTATGCTGTGAATGATAACTGGAGAAGAAACTGTTCACATCCATTTCCTCAGGAGCTCATGGCATCCAGATCAGCTACATCTGTCTGCCACAGCTACTCTGCCTGCACTGCTCTACAAGG